AATAAAGTGTTGATTTATGCTATAATGCAGATGAACCTAGAAGACTTTATGTTAAGTGAAAGGAGCCAGACTCAAAAGGTCACATGTGACACAATGCCTCAGGCTCAAAAAGTCCAGAACAAACAGAAGGCAGATGAGTGGCTCAGGGGCTGGGTAGGAGGGGTACAGGAAGTGAGCGCGGGGTTCGTTGGGGGTGATGCAGATGTTCTCAGAACTAGACCGAGGTGCTGACTGCACAACATTGTCAATGTACTAAATGCCATAGGATGGTGCACTTGATTAATTTTATGTTACATGAATTTTAGATCAATTTTAAAAAAAACAACCCAAGACAACAGCCCTTGGCCTGTAAGTCTCATGCAAGATGGAAGTGAGTTGGAGACGAGTTCAGCTCACAGGAAGGGCTGACCCTGCTGCTGCTCCTGTGGTTATCACACTGTGATTGTAGCCAAGTTACCTAAGTCAGCGTCCTCTCTGAGAAGAGACATCGCAGCATTTATACTCAGAGAGCTGATAAGGTTAATTACGACAGCGTCCTAGTAGGCTATCAATGCCACAAGGACAGGGATTTCTGTCTATTTTGTTCATGGATGAATCCCCAATGCCTTTATCAGAGCCTGCCCAGAGCTGGCATTCTGCAAATATTTCCTGAATAAATGACACTGTTAACACACTGCCTGGCTCCTGGTGATTGGTTAGTAATGTTTAGCCGTGTTAATTACTATTAGTTTGGTCACTACAGTTCTTTGAGAGACCCTAAGTGATCTTTTCTTGCACAGAGAAGTGAGTGTTACTTTGCTTATAGATTTGTTTTTATGACTAACTTATCTGGATGCCTACTATGTCCAAGAGGTTTGAGCTGAGCTGAGAATGGAACCTAAGCTCTCACTGTTGCTAGAGGAGGAGGTGGTGAGAGTTAGTACATGTAGATGGCACCCATCCACCCATCCACTCATACCTCCCTCCCTCTGTTTCTCTGTCTACCCACTCACCCCTCATTCACCCACCTGTCCTCATCCATCTACCCACTCACCCACCCCATCTACCCATCCATCCATCCCCCACCCATCCCCCATCCACTCCCATCCATCCATCCCCCATTCATCCATCCCCCACCCACCCCCC